AAGAACCTTTGCACATCCTCTACCTCTGTCACCACAAAATATTAGGGTATAGTGAGAAACTCTAAAAGATTAAAAACATGTTTTCAAATGTTCCTTAAAAACCAGCAGTAGCTATCAAAATTAATTGATCTAAGCTCTTCAAATTGAATCAATACTGACCACCAACTCTTCATTTCATTTACATTTTCAGAGTGTGCATCATGGCAGGATCCCACCTGCACGTGGCCGGTTCCCTTCTACTACTATAAACTAGTTCTATGAACTAGTATTTCTTGTATCCCAGGGCTTTTTTCTTTAAGTTTCAATTCAGAGGTACAAGAGCCTGGAATGGGGGCTGTGTAAAGTAATGTGGGTACCTAACCAGCAGATGCTTACAGCTCCTGGTGCAACAGGTTCTAGAACATCCCTCATCACACCAGTGACAACACCTATTACATCCCAAACAAGAGGCACTTGCTGAGTGCACAGAGTTCACACGATGACAGAGAAGGACTGGAGGAGACAGTGTGCAGCCTACACTCAGAAGGAAGAATAGGAGGGTTGGGGTGGGGGGAGACTTTCTGAACTGTTGTGGTGCCTCCAAGTTCCTAAGGGTGGCATTATATCAGGGGTGCCACAAGGCGTTAGAATGTGGCAGCACCTACTTGGCGTGGATTATAAAGATGCTAGCTGGATAACCCAGAAAGGAAGAAGGAAGTGAGGAAATATACAATGAAACATTCCAAAGTCCTTATGTTACCTTTTGGGGCAATCCTTCCAACTTCAGAAGATTGGAAGGCAATTTTTTGGATGCCATCATTGACATAAAATGTTTATCTGTAGTACAAATTAGTTCTAGAAATTTCCAGGTTATGAGCAGTCATCTAACAAATATTGACTATGGGCCCAAAGCACATGCCAATGAGACATTGGCTCCATTCCCAAAAATCTTAATCTCTTGAGAGGAAGAACATCCTGACACCCCCAAGCTATAGCGCAAAGCAAAACATGATTAATGTCACAGAGACATAGTTTTTAAAATAGTAAGTGTCCAACAGAGAGGGTGGGATTGTAGGAAACGAGGATCAGAGAGGCTGGCAATAGGCACATCCCAGACTCACAAAAGAGGTGGTGGCATTTGCACTGACCTTAAAGTCAGGATAGATTAATTACAGAAGAACCAGCATAAACAAAGTGTAGAGGATGATGGTGATGTGGAGTGGTGTGCAGTGGGGGTGGGGGGGGTGTCCCAAAACATTGACAAATAGTCCTATTGAGATAGAAAGGAGCAGGTTAGTAAAAGCTTAGACAAAGGACTGTGCTAGTCTAGGCTCCATTGGTAGTTTTTCAAATCAATGGTATCGGGACCAGAAGTGGTGATCTGGTTGCTTTGTGAATGAATTGAGAGGCGGATGTGAAGGTAGGGGTGTGGGGAGGAGGCTGCATCAGGGAGTCAAGACAAAACAGCAGTGTCCCAGGCAGCAGACACAAGCTTTGGTATTGCACCTTGCTGCTGGGGGCTTCAGGCTAATGGTTTAACAGATCTAGGCCTTGGCTCCTCTGAATATAAGATGAAAGTTTCATCTCAGCTTCTTTCCAACTCAGACAAGAATGTCCTAATAATATGGATATTGTCCAAAGCTGAAGTGATTGGTGATCAGCACTGAAAAAAAAAAAAAGAAGAAAAGCAGCCCACACACGTGCCAAGAAGAGTAGGGTTTATTGAAGCCTTTTGGTTAGCTCTGGGTAGTGGAGTTATTAGTAGCTTTTGTTTTCATTCTGCTTACTTTCATTTTCTGTTCTTTTCTCTGAATGCTACATGTATAATAAAAATGCGCAGTTTATTTAAAAACTATACCCTCCCGGGGATCCCTGGGTGGTTCAGCGGTTTAGCGCCTGCCTTCAGCCCAGGGCATGATCCTGGGGTCCCGGGATCGAGTCCCACATCGGGCTTCCTGCATGGAGCCTGCTTCTCCCTCTGCCTGTGTCTCTGCTTCTCTCTCTCTCTCTCTGTGTGTCTCTCATGAATGAATAAATAAAATTTTTAAAAAAACTATACCCTCCCACCATCACCACCATTCTCACTCTCACATACACACACATATATAAAACAAAAGTATTAGAATGTCAGTTTTTGAAACAGCTCCAGCTACATGCTCACTCTGGGGGGAAAAACATGAGTAGTGTTTCATCACATGTTAATTTACCTAAGTATTCCAGAAGGTGACTATGTCTGAGGATGGTACTATACCTGTTGTAATTCACACTTCTCACACCCTGGAGAGGCAGGACCTCCCAGGATTAAGCTATTGTGGCAGGTTGTTTTTGTTTTTGTTTAAAACATTATTTTACAACCAAGGCCTAGCTTCCCCACAGACAACATGAAAATATACTCTCGTGTCACAGGTGAAAGCATCTTATCCACAAACATGAAAAAGGAAAGTCGCCAAAACCTTGAACGGGGAAATTATATCAGTTTAATATCATAAATGATATAAAATATTAACAGAACAGATCAAATTGAGATAAGCAGAACATGACCAGAGCAGCATGTGCCAAGAGAAAGAAAAAGTCATCTCAAGTTTAACACAATCAAGTGTATCTTTACGTGACTTTGTTCTCAATCTTAAAAAGCCCATATCTACTTTCCTCCCTCTTACCACCCAAGCTTGCTTACTACAGTCCTACTTTGCATTTACTGCTATAAATTTAGAAGTTCAAGTGAGCTTGCAGCATGATTTCACTTCCCATTGTGGAGGTAATGTGAAAATGTAAATACCTGCCATTTACAGGGATTAAGGTGACATCCAATGCCCCTTTTACAGACGATAGCCCATCTTGAGGAAAGTAACTACAGAAATGCTGAAACCAGGGATCCCTGGGTGGCGCAGCGGTTTAGCGCCTGCCTTTGGCCCAGGGCGCGATCCTGGAGACCCGGGATCGAATCCCACGTCGGGTTCCCGGTGCATGGAGCCTGCTTCTCCCTCTGCCTGTGTCTCTGCCTCTCTCTCTCTCTCTCTTTCTCTGTGACTATCATAAATAAATAAAAAAATTAAAAAAAATTTAAAAAAAAGAAATGCTGAAATCATACACTTCAGCCAAAACTATCCCTCCCCACCAGACCCCTCACGCAGCATATCTTAGCTAGACAGATATTTCACAAAACTTAAATGTGTTATATCATGCAAAAATGTCCTTATTAGAATAATTTTGTGGGACACCTGGGTGGCTTAGCGGTTGAGTGTCTGCCTTTGGCTCAGGGCATGATCCCGGGGTCCTGGGATCAAGTCCCACATCGGGCTCCCTGCAGGGAACCTGCTTCTCCCTATGCCTACATTTCTGCCTTTCTCTGTGTGTCTCTCATGAATAAATAAATAAAATCTAAAAAAAATTTATATTCAATATTCCATAATGATTGTCTCAAACAAAAAGCAGTTTACAGTTGATGTTTTCTGGGTTGGAGCCACTTAAATTCACTTCATCCTCTTGTGAAGAACCCAGAGGGGCTGTCTGGGTGGAGGTCACAGCATAGGGCGCTGGCGAGGAGGGTGGGCAGGCTCCTCTCCTTCAGCTTACAGCAGCTGGAGGCTCTGTTCCTGAGGATGGCATGTGCCTCAGAGGGTCATGAGTATGTCACAGAAAAGCGTTCAGTGAGTGACTCGTGTGGCTCTCTGCCAGCTACACAAAAGGCCATCCACTGGTTTCTTCCGTGGCTCCAGCAGGGGCCACAGAGGATAGGTGACAGAACCCGAGGCCCGGCTTCTGGTCACAGCCCATTGCTGGCCCTCCTGGTGATGTGGGCAGGGTGTCCCCATCACCCCCTACCTGCTGAATCAGGCAGAACCTGCAGGTGATGCCTTCTCACCCACAGCGCCCACCCAGGGCAGCGGCTTTCCATGATTTGCAGACCAGCATGGGTATAGTTGGTATTCGTTAAGTGAAAACACAAAACAAGTCAACTCTAGTCCAAACCGTGGTAAGAGCAGGAAGCCAACGAGACCGATGTGCGTTCCCTTTTCCGGTGCACCAAGCCCAGAGCAGCTGCCAGGGCAGAGACGGGGCAGGCCCAACCTGGCCAGGTGCTCCCCAGAGTGAGAGGACAGTGAGGGCCTGCAGGGGCTCAGGGGGCTCAGGTACCAGTCCCTGACACAGGTGCCTAACCATAGGGACCTGGACCTATGTGTGCGTGTATTATTCTGTTTGTGGATATAGCTGAACACCTGTGTCCATACCCAACACATTGAAGACCCACGAACAAGGTGTCCCAGGGCAGGACCACCATTTCCATCAGGCTGGGGTTTGGCTTTTCCTTAAAGTCATGATCATTTCTCAGCTGCACAGATGGGGATGGGCAGGGACACACAGACAGGGCTGGCCAGCATGGAGGTCTTTGTGGGAGGGAACACTCTGGAAGCGTTTCCTTGTCTGCTTCTGGTGATCACTACTGATAGACCAGCGTCCAGAAAAATGAAGATCCGTGCAGCTGGCGGTCAGGCTATCGGGTTCCATTGTTTTTGGTGTTGTTATTTTACCACTACAAGCTGTTTAACATTTTGCACACATCTGAGCAGTCCTGTATATTAAATACATCACACCCACTGGATTCAGAAAAGTGGGTCAATTATAAGACGGCTTCTGTGTAGACACATTACCTACACCAGCTTTGGGGGAGTTGCTGGGATCTGGTCTACCCGGTGTCCTCCTTTTTCACAGTCAGCTCATAATTGCTGACAAGGCCACGTCCCCATATCAGTGTTCTTGCCGCCCAGGCTCTGTACCCAGAATGAACATGTCACAAACACCTGTAAACCAAACAGCAAAATATGTGAAGAGCCTTTCCCACATTTGTGCATCTGGCTGGTCTGTGTCTTTCCTGGATCTGGAAGGAAGCAGCTTCCTAACTCATGCACTCAGGGGAGCGAGGGCTGTGACCTCTGTGGGCTGCAAGCATGTCCCAGGTCACGCCAGGGACCCGACGTTGCTGTAGGCAGCAATCCCTGACCATCTGCTTTCCATTTCAGGCCTACATGGAGGACCACTTGAACAACAAGAACCGGCTAGAGAAGGAGTGGGAGGCGCTCTGTGCCTACCAGGCCGAGCCCAACAGCTCGCTCGTGGCCCAGAGGGAGGAGAATGTGCCGAAGAACCGCTGCCCGGCGGTGCTGACCTGTACGTAGCCAGTGTGGGGCTCCTGGGCCATGGTGGGGTGGGAGATGGGGAGGTGGGTGCTGGGTAGGGCTGGGCTGTACCTTCCCATTCTCTCTTGTGTCTCTGCTGCTGTTCTCGTGGCTGTGAGGCTGTCCCCGGCCTAAAAATGGAATCAGTTTCTTCCGTAGTGGTCCAGTAGCACAGCCCAGGGTTGAGGATGTTGACATCCCAACCAACACTTGCTCTGTTTGCCATTACTGCATAATTTGAGAGTCATTTCTTAGTCTCATTGAGCCTCCTCTCTGCCTGTAATTGGGATCCCCCCCGTTGTCCTTGAGATCCTCAGGCCCTGAGGACAGCAAGCACAGCGCCTATCACACTGCGGGCACAACGTGGGTGGTGGTGGTAGCAGTGACCTTGCAGCCGCACGCTTATCCCAACACTCGTGTGGAGGACCCCCTCCCCAGCTGGGAATCACCCACAGAAAGAGACACAGAATGACGCCAGTTCTTTAAAGCCTGAGGCCACCTGCATGGAGTAGGAGACAGGCTCATATCATGTGTGGTGTGTTCCATAAGTGACATCCAGATGGACAGGCCCACAGAGGATGCAAACAGACCGGCTCAGCCTGCACCTCCCCAGCCACCAGGGCTCCTTCCCTTCTCGTGTCGCTTAGTAAACGCAGCAACCTCCGTTGTTCTAGCAGGTTCCAGGCCGGGCCTGCACTCTGATTAGTGCACGAGCCCACCCTGCAGAGAGGAAAGGGTTGTGAGCTGTGTTTATGACCCGAGTGCTGGACATCAACAGACACTCACCGAATGCTGACTGCGTGAGCAGCAAACGTGCATGCGGAGTTACCCCGTGGCCATCCTAGTGACTGCAGACAACACGTACTCGTGCATGCCTCGAACATCATGCCACGTTTGTTGTCGGCTGACAGTTTGGAGGGCACATCAAAGCCACGCTCTCTGCAAGATCAGGATCCACGGAGGGGAAGGGCGCCCCTCCCCTCCCGCTGTGTCCCATATGCTGTGTCCCGGCCCTTCAGAGCTTGGTGCCCCCCCAGAGCCAGGGCTCAAACCTTCTCCTGACCCCCCCAACCTGGCCCCGCAGAGGCCAAGATGGATGTTCTGACGGTAAATGGCGGGGATCTGATCCAAGTTTACAGGTCCACAAGATTAAAAGCTGGCCCCTTGTGTTGCCTTGGACACTAAGAGGCACTGCAGACCCTTGAAAGCTGAATGCATGTCTGGGCATGATTTTTTCTAACAGTTCAGTGGGGATTCAGGCCAGGCCCTCTGCTTTCATGAGATCTGGGGGTTTTCCCTGAAGAGCTTTGAAAACAGGAGCTTTTATATCTAGAAAAAAATAACAAAAACCTGCAGTTGACTGACATATTTATTAAGTACCTACTGTGTGCATTGGGGGGGGGGGGCACTGACAGATGCTGGGCTGTGTGATGATCTAATGGGCCTGCAGATGACCTGAGCTGTGAGGGGGAGGCCTCCACCTGTGTCTTGAACACTTGCTGTTCAGGGCAGATGGATGTGCAGCAGGCTTCGCTGGCGCATCTCCTTGGGTCGGTTGCATACGTGGACCGTCAGGCGCCCTGTGGTTAAATGTTAAAATTCAGAGCCTCTCCCCCAACAGTGCAAACGCAGACCGCGGTGGCAGGTGCCCGCTGGCTAGGCCCTCAGGGACAGCAGAGCATCCTGCCGCATGGCCCCAGGAGCCCTGACCCCCGCCCTTTGACCAGAGCCTCCTTCTCCTCCTCGTGGTGCTGGGGTGAGGTGGCCGGCACCCCCGCCGCAGTGGCCTGGCTCAGGACTCCTCACCATCTGCCGGTCCTGGAAGTCAGGGCTTCAGAAGCATTCTCGTGATGACCCCCAGGGACCCCCAGGGACCCCTGTGCCCTCCACGCCTGCACCCTGTCCACTTGTAGGGGGAGCCTTCCCACGGATTTCAGCTGTGCCCCTTCCCAGGCAGGACGTGAGGGGGACGGCGTGGACCTTCTTGGTCTCGCCAGGATCCACCGGAGGTCACTGCCTGCCCTTTCTGAAATCCTGCTTCCCGTGGTCAGGCGCTCACTCTGTGGTGCAGAAGCGGCTCCGTGGTGGACGTGCAAGGTGTTGAGAAGAGTGGGCTTCCTGTACCCCCGGCCCCCACAGGCCCGTGCTGATGTCCATCGGCACAGAATGTACTCCTCCCCGGTGTCCCCCTGCTGTTGCTGGGGGGGGGGGGAGCCAGCTGCCCCTGCAGCTGCTTCCTGCGCTGAGACCCTCAGCTCCCCCATTGCCTGGTATGGGGCCTTGGATGCATTGGGCCAGGACCTCCGTGGCCGGGCCTCCCGTCCTCCTGCTTCCATGCCTCCCCCTGCGAGGACGCGCTCCTGCAGTGGTTCCTCCACCCAGGAAAGTGCCTGCTTGAATCCACGATGCATGCCTGTTGGCATCCACAGTCTACCAGCTGGACTCTTGGGGCTTCCCACTGCCCCCGTGCCCACCTCAGATGCCTCTCCTGCCTCCTGGAGCTCAGCCCTGCAGGTCCTGTGGGAAACTCAAAAGTGGCCAGGACTTGGACCCTGCCAACCCGACAGCCTGGACCTCCCAGCTACTTCTTCCAAACTATCTCTAAAGGAGAATTTATGAGGTGATTAACTGGCACTGTGTCATCACAGAAGTTTAAAGAATCTCAGGCGCTTTCTAAATGTGTTTGAATTTTTAACAAGGATTATGCAATATTCTGCTCATCTGCTCTTTAAATTAAGAACAGGAATATGGTGCTATTTTGGTGCATCATCTTAAACAAAAAATATGTATATATATATTTTTAATTTTGTGTGACAAAGACAAGACCAAGAAATAGGTGGAGACCCGGGAATACGTAGAGGGGAGAGCACAGAGTGAGCAGCTCAGGACGCAGAGATGTGGAGACAGAGTGAAGGACACCCCACACAGAGCTGCCCCAGTTTGGCTTTTTGGGGCTTTGTTGCTAAGTGACCCCTGCTCAGCCTGGCAGCGGGGCCAGGCGGGGGTGAGGGCAGACCCCGAGAGCAGGGCAGCCGTAGGCTCAGCCACTCGTGAACACTGCCCCCTGAGCAGAGCAGGTGCTGCCCCTGCCCGGGGAACCCGTGTGAGGCCTATGCCCCGAGCCCCTGGGGAGGCGGGCATCACCCCGCACTTCATAGATGACAACCCAGGAACTTAAACCCATGCCCGCTGCTGGGGTCCATGTGTGCTTGTGCCCTCACCCGGGTCGGAAAAAAATGCGCAAAAATGTCAAACTTCCTCAGAGATGAATACCCCAAATTCACACATGACGCCAGAACTTTGAGCCCTGCTTCCCTTAGAACACACGGGAAGTCCTTTCCTTCCAAACAAGCCTTTGATTTACAAGGGTTTTTCTCAATGAGTCTCTGCAGTCTCCCCATGGAGGAGGGACCTGGGTCAGCCAGGGACCCTGGGTCTGCCGGTCACCAGGGGTCAAGGGATGCCTCCCAGGTCTTACGTGGGACCTCTGCCCTCATGTGAAGGGCTCTGCACACACGTCACCCCGATGAGGAGGTTCCTGGGCCCAAGACACTCCTGCACTCCTGACACAGCAGCCGTGGTGAGTGTCGGAGCCGCGAGTCCGCTGGCGTGGAACAGAAGATGACCGGCCAACCGCTGCATCACAGGCCAGAGGAGGCAGAAGTGGCTTTTTGGGTTTGGAGCTTTGTCTTTAAGGAATGCCAGGAAGAGGCAGAAATGGCGTTTCAGGAGACAAGATGTGGTCCTGGCAGGGCCGTGTCCCGAGGGGCCTGGGAGGGGTGTTCCTCCCTGTCCCCACCTGCCCCAACGCCGCCGCCTCTGAGAACAGGGCAGCAGTGACCGTCGGCACCAGTGAACCCCTCAAAGCTCATTACTCGTTCCCTGGAGCAGAGCCCAGCTGCCCCCACGGCTCAGCGTTTGCCACCCAGTGCTGCATAAGGGCCCAGAGTCGGGGGGCCCAGGGCAGGTGCAGGGCCGGGGCCTTTGACGACGGCCGGCAGCTGGCCCAGCCTCCTCTGGACAAGCGCCATTTCCTGGGCCAGAGCGATCTGCCGTGGCTCCTCCGAGGGCCTAGGGCAGCAGGTGTGGGCTCGCATCACAGGCCACGAGGTTGGCTCATGTCTTCTGTCACCGGGTCCCCAAGCCCCACCCGTCCTTGCAGACGTGCTTTAGAGGCGCTCTGCATTCCTCTCTGGCAGCAGATCCTCGTTCAGAAACAGGAAGATTTTGGTTCTGGGCTCAACGTAGAAGCAACCCTGTCTCGGCTTTCTGCTGTCCACACATTTTATAAACGTTTATGTGTCTCTGAGTCATCCGTAAAAGCACCTCCGGCAGGTCCACAAGGGGCGCTGCCCCACACAGGCCCCCATCATGCAGACGCAGGCCCATGCCGGGACGGCCGGTGGCTGTTTGTGCTGCTCCTCGAGTGCTCGCACAGCAGCCACGGGGGAACGAGCGGCAGACCCTGTCTTCACGAGCCTGGGGAGGCTCTGGTTGCATGTTCCCCATGGCAGGAGAAGAGCCAGAGCTGGAGAAGCTGAAGCAGCTTGCTCGGGGCCGGCCTCCTGACCACCAGCCGACTGCGCAGCAGCCACACCGACCAGGGCGGTTCCTGTGGGCAGCCCTGCAGCCCTTTGCAAGCAAGGGACGTCACGGGCGTGGCAGGGTTTTCCTCCACACGCCTTGCTATGGAAGTTCTGAAATGCTCAGGGAGAAATGACCGCAGGGTCCCTGACACACCACCACCCAGACTCCTGGCTGCCAGTCAGGACATGGCTGATTCTGCTCAACGTGTGTGTATCCTCTGTTTGTTTTTTTAGCTAAACTATTTCAAAGTTTTAGGCTTCGTGACACTACGTAAAAACGTTAGTCTGCGCCTCCTAGAAGTGAGCGCGTTCTCCACCGTTACTGCAGCCCTGTTGTTACAACTAAGAACGTGAGCTGTAGCTCCCCGACAGCACCCGATCCCTGCCCATCTTCAGGGTCCCCGGC